CATTGTCTGATGTGCTTTGATGGATTTCGTGAATTTTGCGAGAAGAGTTTTGTTAGGTTTATATAAGGTGGAGAACAGAGGGTTTTGGAACGGTGGAATAGCCTACCATTAAAGGATTAAATTAGGGGTTTAATGAGAAATAATGGTAGAACTACTGTTACCAATCAGAAAAACAGAAGATAGAAAAAAGTTAGAGCTTCTTAGAAGAGAACGATGAAGGTGGAAATGGAGAAGTGTCTTTGAAAGCTTTTACTGCCGAGAAATTGATTGGGCCAACAAATGGGCTGGTTTAGGCTGGTTTACAAAGTGGACCAAAACATTTCTAATTGTACGAATGTTTTGTGCGTGAAGTGAAGTGACATGGCAGATCAGAATATTCTGATTGGTGGATTTAATTAAATGACGTGGACACTCTATTCTTTGAGTATTAAGAGCTTTTAATATAGTAAAGATTTGAATATGAAATGGCAATCTATTATTAGTTGGTAAACCTACGGGTTTATCCTAGGGAGCGAACCCAAGAAAAACTCCTTCCAAAACCATCTAGATCATTTATAATGTGATTATATAAAGTTTGGTTTTCAAAGTTGCTAAATATCATGATCGTGATTCGTGGCACATGGCAATTATATATTTAAGACTATGACATGTGTTAAATAACAATTTACTTTTTGAAAATACTTAAACCAAAAGAATTTAAAATTTAGTTTTCATTTTTTAAAAAGTAAGTCTTAAATAAAAAATTGTAAAAATATATATTTCAATATAAATAATTATTGGATAATAGTATTTATTTTTTTGAAACCGTAGGTTTAAGACAATTACAAATACTTAAATATTAAAGTATTTACAATAATAGTTTCTTATAAATATTTAATAGTATTCTTGCTGTTAAAAATATATTAAACCAAAGAGAATTCTAAAAAAAAATCTTATAAATGTATTTTAACTGTTGTATTCCTTTTACAGAATCTTATTTGCAAGACTAAATAAAAACATATTGGTTCATTATAATTACAAAATCTATAAGTTTATTGTAATTGTAGTATTCCTTTTTTTAGAGAATCTTATTTTCAATGTCAAATAAAATATATGGTTTAAAATAAGTACAATAATCAGTTGACATTGGTTTAATATAAATTATTTCCTTAGATTGTATTTTTATAAATATTTTATAATAATTTTCTTATAAATATGAAATTATTAGATAGTTATTCTTATTTTACAATATCATAAACTAAAAAGCTTTATATAAATTTTATATTATATAAACCTTTTTTTTTTAATTTTAAATTTTATATGATCATGACACATGGCAATAAATACTTAAGACTATGACATGTGTTAAAAAATCATAAATATATAATAATTTAGTTAAAACATTTGCTCGTAATTTCCCTATCCTAAATCCTTTTTTTTTTTGTAAAAGCATATGAAAGTAATTTTCGAGGATTGGAATATATTTCTAAAAATGTGCAATTAGTTACTGGAAAAACTTATATATGAGGTAAAATTTAAAAAAAGGAGAATCCAATCTTCTTATCAAAGTTACAAAGATTCATAAGAACAAAAAAAAAATGTAATATATATTTTGGTAGAATTATTATATAATGTAACGTAATACTTGATTTTTTGTTTAGTCAATTTCAATGGATAATAATTGTGGAAACAACAAGCACAAAGAACGAGAAGAATAAAGTAAAAAGAAACAAACGACAATTTTTAGAAGAAAAAAAAAACACTTAGATACAAGTGATTTTCGAAACTTATAATATATGAATGTTGTATTTTCTTATTTGAATGTTTATTATTATTATTATTATTGTCAGCGAAACTGATTTTTATATGTGTTTGGTCAAAACAAATCGAGATTCATTGTCATCTTATTACCTTTTTTCTTTTCACTGTGTAGTATTTTCTTCTAATTCAATTTTAAACTGTTATTATGGAAATATCTCATTAAGATATAATGAATTAAGAAAAGTATTTAACATCAGATAGGTTGAATAAAATAGCCTTATTGTTACCACAAAATGATAAGCAAGTAATTTAAATATAATGATAAATCACGCGTAGGAAAAATTACAAATCCATAATGGAAAAACTAAAAACATAGTTTGAAATATTATAACTTGGATCCCAATTAATAATACCTTCAAGAAAAAAAAATACCATATTAACATTTGAGTTTAGGATTTATAGATTTTTTCTTAGGATTTATTATTTAGGGGGTGAAGTTGAGTTTATAAAGCTTTATAAAGTTTTCCAAATCATATATATGATATTGCATGGCATATATTTAAAATTAAACTAGAAGAACTTCTTAATTGCTTCCAAGATGGTGTCTTCTTGAATCTTATTACAACATATAATAAAATAATTTATTTATTTATTTTAAGATTTATCACTACAAAATTATAATTTGTTCTCACAAAATCATAGTTAAGAATTTGTGTTTTTTTTTATAGATATTCATACAATCAAGATTCAGAAATATGATCTTCAACATGCACATATATTTGTGTTTCTATAAGATCCATGTATTGATGGTTTCATTATCATTAATTGCATGATTAAAATGATAATCCAAAATGATTTCGATTGATTGAACAACTAAAACTTCATAGATCACGGAAACTAAAATATATATGATAACAAATGCACAAAAAAATTCAAGGGATCCTACAGTGATACTACAAACTTCACTAAAATAACCAAATTTACATTAGAATATATTACAAATATTAAATAAGTATAAAAGAATAGATATGATGTTGACCTTATTTAACTTTTAATTTTCTTGGATTCATTTTAATATTTAGGTATGAGTATTTTCTGTAACCTTAAGTACAAAGTTGATAATAGTTCAGTTATGCGCCATGTTTATTAGAATACAAATATTAACCATAAATTAATTATGTAAGAAACGAATTCATATTTATAAAATAACACTCACACAACATATATGACAAAAGATTTTAAAATTTTCATAAAATGATTTCTTATTTTTATGGTTTTTATAAAATTAAAACATGAAACAAAACTCGTGCAACACACGGACCCATTTCTAGTGCTATAATAATAAAAAATGAATATTTCATCAGTATAAATTAACTGATAGTTTAAAGTATAAGATCTTATAAAAGTAAAATAATATGAATACTATTATATGTAAATCATAATATTTAATCTAATATATTACATATATTGTTATATTTTATAAATATCTAAACCGATTAACTATTACTAGGATAAGATCCGCGCCTTGCGCGGGATGAAGCTATTATTTTTATTATGTTTTTAAAAATGAAACAATAGTTTGGTTTCATTCGGATTAGAGGGTGTTCAATCCGGATATCAGGTTTCGGTTCTGGTCGATTTTTTGGTATTTCGATCATTAAAATATAACTACTATTCTAAATCTATATGTATTTCAGTTTGATTTGGTTTATAAACCATCGGTTTTCAGTTTATTCAATTTTATACCAAAAAATATAATTATTTAGTTTGAGATCATATTATATATTATAAAAATATATAATATGATCATATTTAGAGTCATATTGTCACAGAGTCATTTATTAAAAAAATATTGTATATTTAAATAAAAGAATAAAAAACAAAAAGGCTTCTATCATCTAATAAAATGATCAAATCTAGAATTAATATCAAAACACTAAATTTTGAAAATAAAAATAAAAAAACAAAAAAGAAGCATGAAAGAAAAGTTTTTATATTCTTCCATATTTAGTGTTCATCAAACCAATATGTCTTCGATTGAACACAACTCTGTCCATCAAATTTATAATCTTTACTTCAATTTAGTTACTGTTAAAAAAACAAAAGATCAAAATAAGAAGTCTTAGTTGTAATAAATTGTTAGCTATTTACAAATTATAATTATAGTTCAACTCATGTAACAAATAGATATTCATGCGTCTTTATAAATATATACATATTTACATGTTTCAGTTTAATCGATTATAAATCAAACCATATCCAAATCCTATGGTTTTTATAAAATCATATCCATTCGGTTTGTATGGTATATACCAAAAACAACCATATTATCGATTGTTAATATCTTTTAAAAATATAAAATTAAAAAAAGAACTAAGATATTTAAATTATTGATAACAAAAAATTTCAATGTGAAAAATTTAATAAGTTTATAATTTATAAATGTTCTTGAAAATTTATTGAAAATTTTGAAATTAAAATATTTATGTAATCTTATATGGTATATAGTTTAATTTGTATATATATATTTGTTTTATTATTGAATGATACTTTTTACTTATATGGTTTTAAAATCATGTATATCTTTTTATAATAAAATGTTAAACTATTGATCATTAATTTTTAACATAATAATTTTAATAGTTTAGTTATATATTCTCGTTTCTTAAAATTCAAAATATAACATATATGAAAAAATCTAAAGTTTAATTTTATAGCTAATTTGATTGTTTAATTTATTTTATTCAATGTGGACTTACTTATTTTTCAATTGAATCTAATTGACTACCTAATTGAATGACAACTATGCATTGGGACCTCTTTTAATTAATACAAAATTGAGGTTACATCTTTTCAAATGTTCCTCAATTAATATATAGGGGATTATAAGCGTCTGATTTCCTGAACACTGAATTGAAAAAGACAGGGTATGCTAGATTATACTCACCTCTTTGAGATAAATCTGTTAAGTACTGAGAATGATATCCATTATATATATACAAAATATAAGCATACATAGTTTTTATACACCTTCAACATCAAACTACTTGATCTTTGAAAGAAAACTATAATCATGTAAAACGAAAAAATGTATTTGGCATGACAATAAGGAGACTTCGTTCGTCTGGAAGATATCAGATGTGGTGGTCGGTTCGTAATTTTGCGAACGCCGAGTAAAAAAAAAAAGAACACGACTCAACTCCAAACAAGACAAGCTAAAACTTGTTGATATTTTAGCAAGCTTCATGCTTTGGCCTCACTTCAAGTTCTGGTGGTAGAAGTTTCAGAAAGCTTCCCTGAACCACTGGTGGAGTAGGAGGAGGTCGATCACAATCCGATCTCGTCTTTGTTTCTGACGAATCCGATGTCTCTGCAGATCCACCATCTATGTAACGGTTTACATACAAAATAAGAAAAGTTAGTAATAATAACATGATCAAGGTAGATCTTCACATGGAAATATATAGCCATAGAAAAAAGATGTGCACCGAAGAGTGATTTGACCATTGGTGGTCTCTTCGACTTATTCTTCTTCTTTAACTCCGCTACGAAACAGCATGCATTAGCATTAGTTAGTAGTACCATTCAAACTCAGAGACAAAGAGACCAATGATGAAGTATATGTGTACCCATTCCAGGAACTTGGTAATCATTAACGATCTCGAAGTTCTTGTAAGTGTACCCTACAAAGTTTATATCCTTTGACGACAGCATCTGCAGAAATAAAAGCGGAATTGAGTACACATAAATGAATGTAATAAGAAGGCAATGTTGAATCTTTTCAGGGAGTAGCTTTGCCTTCCTCCATGGGCCAGACTTGGAAGATGTTTGAGTTTGTGATTCTGACTGCATATATTAACCAAATGAAACAAATAAAGGTTAATGATCAAATCAGCAATACATAGCTGCTAATGAGAGTAACCAAACAACTTATTCTTCCCTCAAATCAAAATTAGGATAAAAAAAGAATACCTCGTCAAACTTCTCAAAATTCTGAGTGTCTAAATCGTCATTGACCTCTGGAACAAACGCAGCATCCATATCGAATATTGTATCCCAGTCAACAGTTTCAAACCATGGATGAGCCTGCGAATTGGAGAAAACAATTTAAATAATCTCAAGCTACATAAAGGGAAAAAAAATAAAAATCTACATGCGGAAAAGCTTTTAAAAGAAAACCAGTAAAAGGGACACCTTTATTTCATGAGCACCTTTGGAACCAAGCCTACGTCTGACACTGCACAAAAGGTTGTTGATAAGATCTCTTGCTTCCCGCGACAATATTGCTTCCTCTGGAAACTTCAGATGACTTTTCCAGTTTACTATCTGCAAACCAAACAAGTGTTTGATGTCAATGTAAGGTAAAATTCCCACTCATCTTGTCTTTTATTTATTTATTTTGGTTTCCATGCATGTCAGTTATTCTAATATATTGTGAGAGCATATTTACCTTTCTACAGGTTGACATAGGATCATCTGCATAAAAAGGAGGATATCCTACTAGCATTTCGTACATGATAGCTCCAAGAGACCACCTACGTACATATCATTTTTATTGAGCAAACTGCAATTAGCATTCTATGCAAGGTGCAAATATACAAACAGTGTCACCATATACTATTTCATGATGGTCCCCATTAACTAATTACTAGATAGACCCCATCAAGATTTATACTCTTTCAAATGTGAGCATAGAATTGACGGTAATGTTAGACAGAAATATAAATAGAAATAAAACAATGAATGACTAGCGTCTGAGTCAAACAAGCGTGCAAAATCCCATAGCTAATGTAGTAACTTTCTTCTTCATGTTTGTGTAAAAAGAACAGAAAAGATCAAAATCTGATGGATTATTTATGTAAGCACATAATATGTGATAATGAAATGACGAAAATAAGAAAGCTTCAACAAATACTTACCAGTCACATTCCATTCCATAGCCTTTCTTCAACAGAACTTCTGGAGCTATGTAATCTGGTGTTCCAACAGTCGAATAAGCCTGTGGTGGTCGTTTCCGTGTGTTAATCAAACACATACAGAGAGAGAGAGATAAATTCTATTACAGTAAAGTCAAAAATCACAAAGGGTGAATATGAAGCCTTACTAGCTTTCTCCTGTTCTTCTGCCAATGTTCAAGCTGTTCCTGCTGTGTTCTTTTTGGAGCAGCTGACCCGCCGGCCTCTTGCTCCGTAGTGGATCCATTTGAAAACTCGTTTTCTCCAATGGCACTGCAGTCCAAAGGTTTACACAGCCCGAAATCCGACAGTCTCAGATGCCCATATCTGTCAAGCAGTAAGTTGTCCGGCTTGATATCCCTGCGAAGAAGATAAGCCCTCAAGCAAGAGAACATGAATGGGTTTTAATTTTATTATAATACTCTCAGAGAACCTGTGGATGTAATTGTGCCTGTGGATGGACTCGATAGCAAGAAGTGTCTCAGCGACATAGAACTTGGCCTCTTCTTCAGTCAGAGTATCTTTGCGCATTAGTAGAGTCATCATATCACCACCAGGTAGATACTCCATCACAAGGTAAAGGTGATCATCATCTTGAAACGAACAGTAAAGCTTAACAATGTAGTTACTGTCCACTTCCGCAAGTAAGTTCCTCTCTGCTCTCACATGCTCAACCTTTAATTTGAAAATATATATATAGTTTAATGATTAGGTTCACATACATACATACATACATACATACAAAAGTAGCATATTATTAGATAGGGAAGTGTCATCACCTGGCCTCTGCGAAGCATCTCGTCTTTCTTGAGCTTTTTCATTGCATAAACTTGACCAGTCGTCTTTTCTCTACAAACTCTAACCTACAAGAAAAAACATTATGGTTTAACAACCACCAGAAGAAAATTTGAATGAAAGCATATGCATTACCTCCCCAAAAGCACCTTTCCCAATCATGGTAAGCAAATCAAAATCAGCAACGCCTAGCTTATGGCGTTGAAGGCGCATGTACTCTGTCTCCTTCTTCTCCAGAAACTTGAGAAGATTGTTTTGATCTTCTTCAGACACATCAGCATCTTCCAGCTTCTGCTCTAGCATGCTTCTCCTGTTTAATATATCAACAACCAAAAAAACAAATATTCACGCAAATTAAAAAGAAGAAGGATTTTCTACATTCTTGGTTTTGAACAAGAAGAGGTTTGTTATATATATACCTTTCTTTCCTCTCTTGCAGAATCTTCATCTGTTCTTTGTAATGATTCTCAATGTATTGTTTAGCTGCTGCAACTTTCTGTTTGGTAGTGTTTGAGACAGCTTCTTCATCAGTTTCCACCTTAGGTTGTTCATCGGTAGAGACATTACTACCATCACCACCTGAACCACCTTTATATTTCGATCCTCCACGCATCTGCCGCTTCTGAAACCAGCCCTTTGCTGAATCCATATTTTATACTCTCCTCTTTTTTTTTCTTTTCTTTTTTTACCACACACGTTATATACTCATTTCACCGGTAATCCATCATCTTTTGATTGAAAACGTCTGAAACGAATCCTTGTGCATAAACCAAGAATTTCAGAATCAACACAAACATCACTAAAATACAAATACGTCAGATATATAAACATGAGAAACTTAAAAAACAAATCGGTGAGGATCAAAGAAACACCTAAAGAATCGGGGGAAAAGGACGATCCAATGTTAACATTTAGATACAAACCAAAGCAGGAAGATGTAACAAATCTCCAATAGGAAAAGGAGAAAAGAGAGGAATGGAATGAGCGTGAAACTCTCTGTAGCCCATGAATTTATATATGGCATATCATTTCTAAGTAATGCATTTAGATTCCTTAATTCCCAGCGTCATTTTCTCTCATTTTTATGCACACTTCTTCTCATTCTTTCTTTCAATTATTTATATATAATGAAGATGGACTTAAAAAAGATGTATTAAATGAACCAAACAAAAAAATTTGGGTTGTCGATATTGAGAATTCTTTAACCAATTAATCAGTTTTATAATTAATCTTAGCACACGTTTTTGTTGTTGTTTGAGTTTGTTAAAGACACAAAGATTTTTTTGACCCACTTCCCTTGTGGTACATCTAGGGAGAAGATAGCACTTTCAACAATTCATTAGTATCAAGTGTATACAAGAGCTTCATTACACAACAACCTCTATGTTTCTCTAATCATCTAAAGAAAAAACAAGAATAAGCTACAACTTGAGTTTAATGAACATGTATGTATAGGAGATGAATCAACAATCCAAAGAAGAAGAAACAATCTAAGATTTTTGACTGGATCTCTCTTTGCTTCTCTTCAACCTTTTTATAGATATTCCTTCAAATTCTTCTCTTTGCTCTTGCCTCTCTCCTTCTCTAATTTTTTCTTTGTCAAATAAGTGTTAGGAGGCAAGTAATTAGGTTTAAAGAATATTTATAGTGTCTCCTTAAATCTTTATACTAATGGACTTTCGACCACAATAAGACCCAAACTTGACAGATTTCTCTTCATCCCAAATTTATATAAATGCATAAGGCATTTTCCCAGATACATCCACTGGATATCAATCACGGTTGACATTTACACAGATGCTGAAAGTTTCAATAACTTGCTTAATCTATTCAATGAGGTTACAAGAGTATATAAAGCATGTTCTATTACAATCATCAGTATCTCCTATACTACAGCAAATAATATATTAGAAACTGAATAAGAATATTCAAGACATATTCTTTCACTCTTCCTCAGTGAAAGCATCAGAGCATCGGACGGTTAAACTATTTCGAAATGACACGAACAGAAACGTTGGTAACCCCTTAGTAAATATATATGCATACTGATAGGCAGAAGGGACATGTAAGACTTTAACTTGGCCCAATGCAACTTTCTCACGAACGAAATGCATGTCAAGTTCTACATGTTTCGTACGTTGATGTTTTACAGGGTTGGATGATAGATACACTGAGCTTATGCTATCACAGAAGATGAGAGTTTCCTTCGTGATTGGAATGTGAAGCTCAAGTAATAAGTTGTGTAGCCAACAAGTCTCAGCAACTGTGTTTGCCACTCCTCTGTATTCGGCTTCGGCACTGGAGCGAGAAACCGTATGTTGTGTCTTTGATGACAATGACACCAAATTTTCTCCTAGATATCATATCCTGATGTGGAACGATGAGTTTCAGGGCAACCAGCCCAATCAGCATCAGTGTAGGCCGTCAAAGAGTTAATCTTGGATTTGAAAACTTGAATTCCATGAGATAGAATGCCTTGTATGTACCTTATAATCATTTTCATTGCATTCAGATGATGCTGTCGTGGGTCATGCATGAAAAGATATACCTGCTGTACTGCAAATGCAATGTCCGGTCTTGTGAAAGTTAGGTACTGTAGAGCACCAGCCAAACTTCTATACTGTGTGGCATCAGCTACACGATCTCCGCATTCTTGAGTGAGCTTTGCGTTGACATCAGCAGGTGTGGAGACTGGTTTATAACCCTTCATAACAGCTCTCAATAATCTCCTTAGCATAATGCTTCTGTGTTAATAGGATTCCGGCTTTATTGCACTCAACCTTGATCCCCAAAAAATAACTCAGATGGTTCATGTCAGTCATAGGAAACTCCAGTTTTAGACTTGTCTTAATCTAATCGAGAAACACCTTGCTTGAGCCTATGAGTATGATGTCGTCTACGTAAAGAAGAAGATAGGCAAGATTTCCATTCCAGCTGTAGACAAACAGAGAGGCATCAGACTTGCAGGTTTCAAATCCCAAGCGTTTTAGGTATTGACTGAATCTTGCATTCCAAGCCCGTAGGGCTTGTTTAAGGCCATATAAAGCCTTTTTCCAGCTTGTCTTGTCAACAAAGCCCGGCTATTGATTCATGAGATTGTCTCCGAAATCGTTCCATAGAGGAACGCATTTTTCACGTCAAGTTGATTTATATCCCAGCTGCAACTCAAAGAAACATTAAGGACCATCCTTATAGTAGCTGATTTGACTACATGACTAAGCATATCCTCATAATCTATACCTTCTTCATGTGTTTTACCATTAGTGACCAATCGAGCTTTGGGCTTAGTATGCATTCCATCTGCATCATGTTTTCTCTTAAACAACCAAAGAGAGTTAATCACATTAGCACCAAAAGGCCTAGGCACTAACCTCCATGTCTTATTTTTAATTTGAGCATCATACTCTTCTTTTATTGCAGGATTCCAATAAAGATCCAGTAAAGTTTTTTGTGCAGAAGAAGGTATGCGAGAGACAGAAGAAGTCAACAAATTGAAAATATTTTTTGGGTTTGACAATACCTAGTGACCTCTTGTTATCATTCTTGGTTGCGGAGGAATAGTGTTTGGCTGAGTGTTTGTTTCTTGAGGCAGAGGATTGGTATTTGGCTGAGTGTTTGTTGTGTGAGGTAGAACTTTGTTTGTGGGCATAACAGGAGGAAGAGGACTTTGCAGCTTCGAAGAGAACAAAGGAGAAGGAATGTCTGCGTCCTTGAGAAAGCTATAAGAGGAAGACTCACGTCATTGTTGTTGAGCAGCTGGAACGTTTATCATCAAAAATTACATGACGTGAGATGATGATGAGACTAGACTTGAGATCTAAGCAACGATATCCTTGGTAATTAACTGGATATCCGAGGAACAGACAAGGAGTTAATCTGGGGGAGAGTTTTGGAAAATGTGAGTTGTTGAGATTCGGGAAACAAAGACAGCCGAAAACTCAAAGGTGCTCATAAGAAGGTTGACGCCCAAACACAGCGGAGTATGGACTTTTGTTAGCTATGGAAGAGCTTGGCAAGATATTGATGACATGACAGGCTACATGAAGAACCTCAACCCAATAAGTTGGAGGCAATTGAGCCTGAAAAAGAAGAGAGCGAATAACATTGTTGATGGTTCTAATCATCCTCTCAGATTTGCCATTTTGTTGAGAGGTGTCAGGACAATAGAACCTGAAAGCCATGCCATTGTCATCAAAGAATTGCTGAAAACATTTTTTTTTTGAACTCCCCCCCCCCATTATCACATTGCAAAGATTTAATGGATACACCAAATTGGCGATTAACATAAAAGTGAAAGTCAGTGAATTTTGAAAAGACCTCATTCTTTTATGTAAGTGGGTAAAACCATAAGTAGTGACTGAAATCATCCAATAATAAAACATAATATCTGATTCCGCTCATGTTTGGTATTGAAGAGGTCCAAAGATCTGAATGAATAAGATCAAAAGATTTTGAGCTTTTATTACTTGATTTGAAAAATGGCAGTTTTTGGTGTTTACTCATTGACAAGCATTACAAAAAGGTAAGTTGTCTTTATTACAAAGCAATGAAGAAGAGGAAAAAGGAGTTTGCAGAGAGTCTTTATTCACATGAGCCAATCTTTTGTGCCAAATAGAGGGACCTTCTGAAACAAGAGAAGTGTGTGTTTGAGACTTATGAAGAACTGAAGGAACATGATATAGGTTTCCATCACTTTCAATGTGGAGCAGAGTTTTCTGGACAGAAAATCCTTCATAGAGAAGCCAAATGAGTCAAATTCAATGGACCACCAATTATATTTGGTAAAGCGACGAACCAAAATGAGATTTTTTACTCTTTTGGAACAACAAAAACGTTTTGAAGAGCCAAATGTTTGGTCGTGGAATGCATATAAGAATTTACAGAGGACCAAACTGGAATGGTATAACCATCTACACAATAACAGAGTTTCTGGTGTTCAAATTAAAAACAAAATGAAGGTTACCTGATGACGATGCGAGGTGGGAGCAAGCACCGGAGTACATGTACCAGTTTGGTGATGGTTCTTGGAGGGTTGTCGTGTTGAAAGCTTCTTGAAAATCTCTCGTTGGTTGAAATTGATTAGCAAAGTGTGATTCTTTGTGGTGATGGAGTTTGGATTCGTTGGTTGTTTCCACGCGGATTGCCTTATGTCGAATTATGCGGATTGCCTTATGTCGAATTATGCATCCATGAAGTCTGCATTTGACGCCAATTGTATGGAGTGGTCCAGTATGGTTGATATCTTGCATATTTCCATTGTTTTATCCATTCATCCATATGCATTTTGATCATATAGATTAAGATTTAGTCATTTCTAGGTTGCATTTTGCATATATGAGTCTTTATTAGGTATTGGAGTACCCTTGGAGTTCTTGGAGGTGATTTGATGCATTTGAGGCTCAAAAGAGGATAAAGAGTGATCATTGCACGAGTAGAGCTGGAGCGACGTGTCAGAGCGACCCCATGACGTCACTCCCAAGCCAGAGCGACCTCTAGAGCAGGACGTCATGGTCGCTCGGCCTTTGTCACTTGGTTGCACGAAAAACAGGCCTGGAGCGACCTACCAGAGCGACTTACCAAGGTCGCTCCCACCTTCAGAGCGACGGCCCCCACAGCGACACGCCTAGGTCGCTCGCATTTTGATGAATC